CCCGCCGCGCCTCGGGCTCGCTCGCGGCCGCCGGGGCTCGCCTCCAGCGCCAGCGTGGACCCCCCGGCTTTGTGTCTGTCGGTCTCGGCGTGTTTTGTCCCGGTTCAGGCTCCTCTAAAAAACGGCAGGGAGGCACGGGAGGCGGACACCAGCCCCTCGCTCCACCTCCTCGCCAGGGGCTCTCCTCCTTCCCCTCCCCTTTCTCCTCCGGCTCCTGCAGCCCTCTCTCCGCCCTCCGCCCTCCCGCCCTCCGCTCGGGGCTCCGGGTTTCTCTCGGGTGTCACGTTACTGCCTCTGCCCGGGGAGGGGCGGGGGGCGCGGCGATCACTCGCAACAAGGAAGAAACTTTGTGGGTGTTTTTTTCCTTCCCCCTTTCTCTGCAATCTGGCCTCGGTTCTTGCGCCACCAGCGACCTCTGGGGGGCCCCCGCCGACTTCCCTCGCGTAAACAGTCAGCGGCAGGAAGAAGCACGACTTCTTGGACTATATACTTTTTTTTTTTTTAATTTCAGAAACTTGATTCTCCTGTATCCCGAGCTGTTCACAAAAGGCTGGTAAAAGGTACTGGGATGGAGATTCAAGACTTTGCGGAGATGGTAACAGAGCAAGTGGCGTAAATTACATTTCCCCACGCCCCGCAGGGCCGGCTGTCCCCGACTCCCGGAGCACAGGCAGGGCTTTCCCGCGGCTCCCCTCGCGCCGCAGCTGCGGGAGACGCGGGGGGATCACGCCGCCAGCAGACCCCGAGGGGAAAGAGCCCTGCGCCCCCGGGTCACCAGTGCATCCCCTCCCGGCGAGGGAAACGCCTGGACCGAAGGAGCAGCACCTGAGCAGAAGGGCCGCGTGGAATGCAGATCCGCTGATGGGGATGCCGAGAGGGCTGCTCTGAGCAGCCACGCTTCCAGGAACAGGAATTTACTGCTCTGCATAGAAGCTGCATCACCTGAGGCTTGAGTGACTTGTCCAAGGCCACTGAGCTCCTCGGGTTCCTCTTGGGAGCTGCCCTCAAACCTGTTTGTCCCTCAAGCTCACTGCACGAACTGTCTCCCAGCCAGGGCCCTTTTTTTTTTTTTTTGGTTATAATTTCTGTGGTGATCCGAGCACCAGATATAACTCATTTAGCCCAGGCCACGGTGAGAAACGGAAACCTCAGTTTCTGGTGCCTGTCATCTCGGTACTGTACACTCCAGTAAGCCGACAACCAGGTGGAAGGAAGAACCTGGAGCCAGGGGCCACTAGGACTCCGTGACTGTCCTGGAAACCTTTATTAAGTCGAAACGTTTTCAACGGAAAATTAGGGAATAGGCTCCTGAGATCAAGAGTTTACAAGTTAAGAATAATCTGGTTGAATTGAAACCCATTTGTGACTATGTGGGGTTCCTGATTTGTAAACAGTGGAGACACGGATCATAAGCTGCAGAGACTAATACGGGAAGCGGGCGTGTCACACAGGCATTCACAAGTGCATGCACACAAGTTCTACTTCCCAGTTTTGTGCTGCCCTGGCCGACTCTCTCACAGAAAATCCTCAATAGGAGTGTCAATGATTTGTCTCACATTTATTGCATGAATCAGAGATTTAGTTAGATGAACACACACATTGTAGAAATGTGGATGCCCCTGAGAGAATTAAGCCAATCAGTCGTTGCTCATTAATGTGAATGAGAACACTGAGTAGCCAGAAAAGGCTCCCCATTAATAATTTTTTGAGGTAATGAAGAGGGACTAGAAGGTGGGAGAGGCAAAGCAATTTCCATAATATTTCAAAACCACCTTTGACAAATGGAACCCGTACCTGAGGCCTGGCCCCATAATGTGAATATTTTTCATTAGAAACTAATGTGCAGGGTCCTCTGTGCTCGCAAGACCCACCCCAGGTCTAGAGACTTCTCTCTCAGGGTACACTGAGATGCCTCCCCCTCATTCTCCCCAGAGTGGAAAACCAAGCATCAGTGAGGCTTTCACAGGAAGAAAGGAAATAAAGGTCTCAAAAAAAAGTAAACATGAGGGTGAAAGTTATTTTTTTATCACCTCAGGATATGTGGGTTTTGGGGTGTTTTGTTGTTGTTTTTTTCATTGATTCTAGAGAGAAAGGAAGAGAGAGAAAAACATTGATGTGTGAGCAAAACATCAATCAGTTGCCTCCCACGGGTGCCCTGACCGGGGATTGAATGGGCAGCTTGGGCACGTGCCCCAACCCTTGACCCTTTGTTGCACAGTTGATGCTCCAACCACTGAGCAACACCAGCTAGGGCGAAAGTAGTGGTGTGTGTTTTTTTAAAGTGAAAAGTTATGAGGGAAGTACAAGGGGGCAAGGTCCAACTCAGAAGAAACAAGTTATGATGAAGGATTTTTAGAGGGAGAAAACCAGGTCAATTTTTAAAATATTTTGTTAATGGACTAGTTGCTTAAAAAAATTCACAGAAGGGAAAAAAAAAAAGATAAAATGCTTTGTATTTTCACACAACAAAAACTTAGATGTTTGGATAAAACTACGTTCTTTGAAGTCCAGTAAATGTCCTTTCAAAAAATACCTTATAATTTAAAGTACGTATGCTGATGAATGGTATATTTATTCAAACCAGTTAATAAATCTGCTAATAATTACTTAACTATTAGTTAGAATTACTATGTTTCTAGTATGTAATCACTTTATCTGAATTAAGCCTTTTAATCCTCACAGCAACCTCATGCTGTAGGCACTATTATTTTCTCCATTTTACACATGAGGAGACAGATAATAAGAATAATGGATATCGACTATGGGAGACCTAGTCTAGGAAGGCTTCCCAGAAGAGGCGGTGCCTGAGTTGAATTGTAGGATGAGTAGGATTTATAGCTGGGCAACAGCCCAGAGGGCATTTCAAGCAATGAGAACTGATGAGAAGGAGTGAAAGATGTGTCCGAAGGACAATGGTTGAGCCCGCCCAGAGGAGGAAAGTGGAGATCTGTGAAGATGCATCAGTGCTAAGAATGAGGGGACTCCAACCACGGAAACCAACTGGAGTTTGTCCAAAGGTTCTTTAGAGACTCTCCTTTTGTGCCAGTGCCCATCAGCCTCTTAGCTCTTAGGCAAGAGCTAAGCAGAAATCCTTTATTCCACTTTAATTAAATGGATGCTGCAGAGAAAACAATATTAATATAGGGAGTGCACAAAAGATAGACATGGCTTAGATTTTTGCAAAAGAAAAAAAAAATTTATCCAAAAAGATACTGCTAAGTGCAGACACTGTTTCACAGTCCTAGCATAACACAGAGCAAGTCTAATTGTTGCAACTGGGTGGAATCTTCCAACTGAGAAAAGGGAGGGCCCACAACAGGTATTTTTCTTTCTACGGTGAATTTTCTTTCAAGGTCTTTGTTTAGTCTACATAAAAAGCCTAAAAATTTCACTTGATTTACAACTAAAGACAAAAACCTTCTTAATATTGAATGTCTTACCTTAATAGATAAGAATTATGCCACTTTAAAGGTGCAGATTGCTGTTTGGTCTATATTTGTAAATCTCTTGGCAGTACAAGTTAGCATACTAACTTTGGATTGTCTGGCTGATTTATTTTTCATCATGCTCTTATGGGGTTCTAAACTGCATCCAATTGTTTGCCTCTATTTTTCCTATAAAAATTCTTGACTAGACTCATAATCTATGTTAACAGAGTTTAAAATCAAAATATCCTTTCCATCACGCAATAAATATGCATTTAGCACTATTATGTGCCTACCACTCTGCTAACTGCCCCAAAGCAAAACAGAAAAGACTAAGACCAGCTATTTAGCCCTGGAAGAGTTTGCTCCTTGACGAGGTTGTCGTAAGTGAAAAAATTTGACAATAATGTGAGGCAGTATATAATTAAATGCTAAATTGTTTGTTATACACTATCAAAATAGTCATTCAAATCTTTAGAGAAATCAAATATTCAAGGCATTCCCAAAAGAAACACTTTTTTTTTAATTTATAAAATTGTCTTTCAATCTTTGTCCTTTGAGTGTGGAAGTGATTTTTAGATTTGCGAGTTACTCATAAGCAAATATGATGAATAAAGGAGACAATCGAATTGGTAATTATTTTTGGTGCAAGAGGGGTGTAACTCTGAAGTCATGGAGATGATTTCCTTGTGTACTTTTACATTGACTAAACTGATGCA